CAATATTTTCTTGAAAAGATAAAAACACATTGATAAAGAACAATTCTTTCATAATAAGTTTATTACGTTTTTTAAAAGTCATAAAAGTCTTTTCATATTGCAAGTATTTAATAAACCTATAAATACCTGCAATAACCGGTGATTATGAAAAGTAATTATTTAAAAAATTTTATTTAAAATATATTATTTTGACATGGAGAATCATAAACACTGTCACAGCAGCTCTTAAATCATACTAAAATTCTGCATGTTTTGTTGACGTAAATTTTTATGGTGTTTAGTGTAAATAAAATGTACAACTTTCAACAAATTTTTTTGTAAACTTAACTCAATTTTTAACTAAATTAATATTAAAAGAAAAAAAAAATTCTGTTTTTGAAAGAGAATAATTATTTACAAACAAAACTTATAAAATAGATCAATAAAAATATACATATAAAACTAAATACATTCACATACCTCTTTTATTTGTAGATGTAGTTATGTATTTTCTACTGCCTACTATAACTTCTCAAACTGCACTTTTGGTAAGAGTAATTTCTTCCCTTTAATAGAGGCAAATTTTTATTGTCTATTTCCTTTAACTGAGGGAAACTTTTTTTGCCTATTGCCGATATAGAAATTTGACTATTGTATTTAAAATAAAACACATTTAATTACATTTTCATTACATTAAAATAAATACAAACTTTAAAACTTAAGATAAAGATATGTTCAAATTTAAAACTTATAATATATGATAGGCTGTGAGACTATAATTAAAATAACAATCACATAAATATTGTTATTTAATATTTAAATAATTAGGAACTAAAAAAGTAAATTTGAAAGAATTTTTTAAAGCTAAATTCAACTTAATAAAATCTAACATGAATATCACCACCAGACAATAACACTGTACTAAATAATTAAATTCATGTAAAACATGTTTAAGTATCTAAAATAAAGCATTAAAAAATAAAAAACAACTTACTTATATCTAAAATAAGCTTATCTTCAGCTTTTATAAAGTTAACAGCATGTTGAGAAACAATTTCTACACATCACGCACAAAACAGAACATGTTTCATTAACTAAAACATTAAAAAGTCAAACTCTAGTAGCTGTAAAAACAGATTGAAAATTACAAAATACAATTTTATATACAATTCATAAATAAAAATATATTCAATAGATATAGTTTTACTATAATGATTAAAGAGATATTCAAAGATATTTTGAGATTCATGAAAAATCAAAAAGCAATTTAAATACTTAATGCATGCACATCTACAGTGCCTCTTGCATCTCATGTTATTTAAGTCATCAAAGTAATTGATGCGCTCTCGGTTAAGAATGTTTAATAGGGGCGTTGATAAATAGCTGTAAATCTCTAAATTTCTTTATTATGTTAATATTAAATAGTTTTAACATTTAATTATTTTTAGAAACAATAAACTTTATAAAACAATTTAGTTTAAATATAAGATTAAAACTTTTAATTATGTTCTTAATAAAAATATACTTTTTAAACCCCCTTAACGTTTTTAAAAAAAGTTTAGGTCGCTGCGTGGCAGGTTCATCAGCTTGCCACGCGGTTTTGTTGTTTAAAATGCTAATTAAAAGTTGTATAGATTTTATATTCTGTATATAAACATATTTTTTAACTTATTTTCTTTGCACAAACTCAATTTAGTTGTAAATAAACTTAAAAAGTTTAACTAAAATAACATAAGTATCTCAATAATGACACATGCGCAAAAAAATTAAAAAAAGAGTTGCCGAAGGTAGGACTCGATTCACAGCAATCCTGTTTTGAAGCCCAGCAGTTTTGAAGCCCAGCACGCTAACCACTATTCTACGCTGACACGTTACTGTAAAAATTTGAAATTATATAAATATTGTTTTTAACGGATACAGACACAAAAGATCAGAAATTAAGCAGAGGTTGACGAAATGCAGTTCTTAAGTGAAAATCAAACTGTATAATTTGATATATGTTTAAGCATGTTTTAACATTACATAACATGAAGCTTAGGTACGTATGATACGAGTTTCACGGTTGCTCACGTTTTCTTATAAAGCAAAGGTAAGACTCTTTCTCGTCACTACCTTGGATGTAATGGTTGCCAAGAGTATCGTGTCAAACAGGCTCGAAAGCGCACTACTATCAAGTTCAGTATTAAAGACTAGCTGAATTGACCCGTAAAAATACGGGTCTTTGTAAGTCTATTCCACACAAACCTTTTCCCTTATTTTCTTATTCTAGCTGTCCGTATTGGTAAATACAGGTCTTTTATTCTACTTCTATTTTTATCTATTACACGCCGATCATTTCTTTAGTTATTTGTTATTTACTTCAATATTTTTTAGTAAACGGTGGAAAAAAATTCATTAAAAAAAATTTGCTTTGAGAGCAAAAAAAAACTTTCTCATACGCACCTTTTCCGCGTACGTATATAGCTTATTAAACCCCGTTTATTTATTTTTAAATAAAAATTCTGAACTAAACTACTTTCTACTTTTAGACCAGCTATGGATCATGATTTATGGTCGCGTCCAAGCCATTTCAAATAGTTACTATTTACTATATTTATTATTATTATATTCTTAGTTTTGAATAACAACGGTCTTGTTTATTGTTACTTTTGTATTAGATGGAAACGGTAATGCGATTCTTAAAAACGTTAGTTGCTTAAAGTGTCAAAAGTCACGCAAAAAAAAATATATATATAAATTTTGTGGTTTAAAAGTTGAAATACTAATAATAATTAAACAAAACGTTTGGTATTTTTTAAACGTTATTATTTAGCTCTTACTTATGGTATTTGTTTTGTTTTCATTTTACATTTTTAAAAAAATGTTGAAGCGCCTTAATACATACATAACTTCGATAGCTCAGAAGCGCGCAGTCATCAGTGTCGCTGTGCTAGGCTTCAAATCCGCGCCTAGAAAATCTCAATACATTTTTTTAATCTGGCTATATTTATAGCAAAAAGTTGTGTAGCGAAAAAACTTTTAATTGTTAAAATAAAACAGTTTTTTCTAGCTACGGGCTGTTCTTTTTTTTTTTTTTTCCGCTTCCACTGCAATACCTTGTGGAGTAGCAGGACGATCTTATCAACTTTTTTCCGTATTAGGTTTTAGGACTTTTTTTTTTTTAGACTATCCGTAGTTTATTAGGAGCAATTATGTGAGCACATTATCAAAATCGTGACACACACGCAACAAAGTTTTGCCCTGTTAATTGGTGTTTTTAGAAATCCAAAAAATTTATAAAATTTAAAAAGAAAAAACGGTTAAAGCGTATAACATTTAACTTGTTTAACTTCACAAATATTTTGTAATTTAAAGATTCTAAGAAAAAAATCGCTGGTGGTTAAATTCGAACTACGACTATTGCGTTCAGAAAGCATAACTCGCTAACCACTCGACCATGCTGACCCATTGAATATCGAAATTTTAAAACTATATAAAAATTGTTTTTAACCGAATTAATTGCTGTAGATCAAAATTTATCGAGAGGTTGACGCAATGCAATTTTTAAGTCAAAGTCAAACTAAAAAACTTAAAAAGTGTTTCAGCATGTTTTATCGTTACATAATTTGAAGTTTACGTACGTTAGATATTTGCATACACGTTCATTCACGTTTTCTTATAATAAAAGCGCTGCGACTATTTCTAGTAACACTACTATTAAGTTCAGCAATAATATATAATAGATAGATTATAAAAGTTTTTCACTTAAAAGGACAAACTATTTCACATTAACCTTATCTATTTCTCCCTCTAATAATTTTTAGTGGACAATAGATTATGTGCTCAAAAAAAAAAAAAAAAAAAAAAATTCACATATGCACCTTTTCCGTAAATTTATGTTTAGAGCTTAACATGAAGATAAATCATTTAGTTCAAGACAACCTGCCCAAACCCAACACACTGTTGATTTATGCACACTCACTGTGGCTACGCGTGTAAAATAAGTAGCTAGGCATGCCAAATAAATTAACTTGATCTGCTTTTCTGCATAAAACAAAAACAAAAAATGTGAAGTACTTGATATAAGGGTCTATAATACTGGATTTAGTTAATTCAATACAAAGTGATAGAAAACTGCAAAATAAGGTAACAAGGTGAAAATTATTCATATACTAATTGACAACAATTTGAATTGCGTTTTATTATATTAGATTTATTAAATGGTATAAAGATTGATGATTTTTCTTCTTATAATATGATTATAAGATAATTATTATAATAGAATATGATTAACGATTTAAAAGACTTTTAAATTAATTATAAAAGCATTGTCTATCTAAAAATGAAATAAAATCATTATTGATAACACTGAATGTACATTTATATGTTTTATGTTAATTCATTTGAAAAATGAAAAATACGAAACGAAATTTAGTAATATTAAATAAATATTAGACACTTACTTTGTGAGAGTGCTTTTGTAAAAGTCTCTAATATTTGATTGGAAGGCTGGAAACTTTTTTTTTTAAATCAGTTTTACCAACAATGCTAAAGTTAAAAATTCACTCTGACACAAAAAAAATTAGGCATTTTTTCATAAAATATTTCTTGGCTTTTTTAAACATTTGTTCCTAAGCTCTAACAACATCGGTTTTTTAAACATTTGTTCCTAAGCTCTAACAACATCGATTTTTTAAACATTTGTTCCTAAGCTCTAACAACATCGATTTTTTGCTTTTTTGCATAGTATTTTAATTCTATAAACGTGAACACACTTAAGTTTGGTTGAAAGTGCTATCTGAAGCATCAAAATACCCTGTTTATGCTACTGAATACACATAGCATAAAACATTTGTAAGTGCACATAACACAAAATATTCTGATTATGTGTTTCCATAATAATTAAAAAAGCTAGACAACACAACCTAGCTCAACACTTGTAACACCGCTTGGCACTAAACGCTGCCAAGTAACACCACAATTTAGTAACACCGCTTGGCATTAAGTGCCAAGTAACACCACTAATTAGTAACACCGCTTGGCTAGCAAGGATCACAATCTTGCAATACACGTTGCCAAGTAACACCGCTTTTTACATGGAAACAACTTAATATAAACTTATATAAACTTAAGCACATAAATATAAATAAAGATATATAAACACATATAAAATATACATATATTTACATACACATATAGCAAAAAACAAAAAAAAACATACAAAAAATATAAAACACATATAACATATAATATACTTGTCAAAATTATAAATTAAGAACATTTGTAAAGACAACATTATTTGTGTAATGTTTGTTAAATGACATACCTTGTAATGGATGTTTATCAACTTTGAAAAACAAACTATTAAATGATCTTGTCCTTGAACATGCAACATATAATTAACCGTGTGAAAAGCAAGGTTTTTTGAGATAAATACCAACTTTATCAAATGTTTGACCTTGACTTTTATTTATGGTCATTGAGTATGCTAACCTAACTGGAAACTGACGACGTTTAAGTGTAAAAGGTAAATTTGCATCTGATGGAGCTAATTGAACTCGAGGAACAAATATCCTGTTACCAGCTGATACACCTGTTAAAACCTCATCATCAATGTAATTGTTGTGTAGTGCACGAACCATCAAACGGGTTCCATTACAAAGTCCACCTTTGAGATCTAAATTTGTAAGTAGCATTATAACACCACCAATTTTTAATTTTAGGCAATGAACAGGCATACCTGATGGAGTCAAACTATTTAAAAACTCGACTGGAAAGTTATTAATTTCATTACGATCATCAGTTTCAATGCTATCTGAATTTAAATATGTTTTCATATCACCGGGTAAACGATGAAGGGCTTCTTCATTTATTGCCAATGAATCAACATTTGTTGGCGTTAAAATAGCACGTTTTGCATAATCAGCTTCTCCTTCACCACCAAAAATCTTCTCCACAATAGATTCATTATAACTAAGAAAGCACTGCTCAGGTATTTCAATACACCCTCGCAAAGGATCTTCAGGCTTGACAGGAAATGTTGCACTTCCAAGCTTTAAAAGCCATTGAGAAAGTTCCTCCTCTTCTATCTGAACCCTCATATTTACAGTTAATGAGAACCTTTGCACATATTGCCAATGTTCAGAACATTTTAAACATGATTCTATAACTTCTGCTGGTCGACCTCGCTTCACAACTGGAAGTATTTGTCTGAATTCTCCACCCATAAGAATAACTTTACCACCAAAAGGAAAGTTGTTATTACAAATATCTTGTAATAACTTATCAATGGCACTCAAAGCATATTTGGGTATCATAGATGCTTCATCAAGTAAATACAAACTGACTTCTCTCAGGAATCTACCATGAATAGAGTTTGGAGTTACATTACATGTGCTAGTTTCCAAAATCGGAACAAGAAGTTTGAATAAGCCATGCATTCTGCACCCATTTTTGAGAAGAGTTGCAGGTATTCCTGTCCATGCAGCTGTTGCAGTTCTAATATGCCTGCTTCGTGCTTCAGCAATTAAATAATTGTAAGTAAATGTTTTACCACAATTGGCAGGCCCATCCAAAAAGAACAATCTTGAATGCTTATTTTCATTTGTAGGTTCCTCACTTAGTGCAGCAAGGATCGCATCAGCTACATTACGCTGATTATCATTCAATAACGGCCTAACACGGTTTGCTTCATCAATAAACACTTGAGCATCTTCATCATTTTCTCGGACATTATCTAAAAACTGATCTAAAGCAGGCAAATTATAACCAGCTAAGGTTTTACCACTCTGAATAATTAAAGATTCAATTTGACGAAGAGCTGCCTGTTCAGCAAGTACGACTGGCATTGAATGGTGTATGTAATTCTTGATCATATAACTTTTAAATGTATTTAAAAGGTGTAAAGGATCATCAGGTTCACATAAAGTTAATATGATGGAAAACAGTAGCTTTATTCGTTTAGGCATCCGAGTTGCAACAGCAATTTATTTGTTTAGGCATCCGAGTTGCAACAGCTTCAGGTAATGTATTTCTCCACTCAATGTCATCTTGCAATAAACCTAAATGATAACATGCTTCACGAAATGTATTAAAAACAGTACCATGAACACTACGCAAATCCTCAAAAGACTTTGCACCTTTTACATGCAAAAGTAACAATCTGTGAAAAAATAATTCGCAAAATGAACTGACTTTATACATTCGAACAACCACCTTATCACAACCTCTTTGTCTTACTTTCCACTTGCAATTTTTACCAAAAACAAAATGATATGGAATTTCAACATAAGAATGCTGACGTGCTTCATTATTTTCAGCATTTAACTTAAACCAAGCGGTTAGGTGAGTGTCACGCTGTGCTGCACGATGTATAGCTAGTTGTTCTTCTCCTTCGTTAAAATATACTCTCTGATTGTTAGGAAGGTGGACTTGAAGGCAGATTATAGTATGTAACATATCACTTATGGAATACTCATATATTCGCCAAAGAGCCTCTGGTGCGGAAACAAAGCGACAGTCTAAGTATGTGTTAATTTCATCATGATCAACACTTTTATTAATTACCACATTCGCACAATTATGCCCCTTATAGACATATTTGTATAAATACTTCACTGACTTAATAGACATGCAAGCTTCAACATTAATGTGGGCTTGGTATTTTTTTGATAACCAGGGGTTATGGGGTACAACCCATCAATTATCAACTTGGTTACCTTTTATAATGACTACTTTACCATTATCTAAACGCCTGTAGTTAGGATAACCATTGAAAATTGCAACAGTGCGAGGATTAATCTTTTTAGGAAATTTTTTTGTGCAAACTCTATCTTTCATGCAAGGAGAATTGGGATTTAAAATCCCACATGGTCCATGAATCATACATGTTTTTACAATTTCAAAAAGTTTAGGATCAACAGTTTGATCTGGAATTTCAGCTGATATTAAACTATCAATATCCTCTGCTGTTTCTAGCTTATCATTATTTACAAAGTGTAATAAAATATGTACATGTGGCAAACCATGTTTTTGAAACTCAATAACCTGTACATGACTTACAACTTTGCCTAAGACTCCATGTTTAAAAATATCATCTAAGAAGCATTTAAGTTTCATCTTAAATACGCGATAAACTAAATCAGGCCTGTCAGTTGCGCTCTCACCTGGATTTAAATTTTCTATAATTTCTCTCCATTTTGGATTACAGGTAAAAGTAATAAAAAGATCTGGTTTGCCATATTTCTTTATAATTGCCATTGTATCTTCAAAATTTTTTTTTAAAGCTCTTGGACTTCCAACATATGAGGATGGTAGTATAACAACACGACCTGGTCTTACATAAAGGTTATTTGCAGCATTATTTACATACTCATGTAATGTATCATATTGTTCACTTATAAGTTTGTTTTGGTTATTTCTGATAAAAGCAAGGCGCTATCCTTCAATCTTGACATATGCATCAACAGCATACTGTTGAAAAAGTTTCTTACCATAAAATATAGGACTGAACGTTTGTCTAATAGAAAGCCTATAAATGTAGTACTGAGACAAAATAACACGAATTCTAACACGTGTTGCTCGGTCAGGATTGTGCTCTAGTTGATCATGCCATCCTGCATCACCTCTTGGAAAAAATATTGGATATATCATTGGATCTAGATTTGCAGACATACTTGAAATTGTTTTTATGGGTTGACCTCGAGTTCAACCCTTAAAAACGAAAACTTTATAAAACAGCACATAAATACTTTAAAATAAAGAGATATTGCCGCAATCAAATTTTTATATAAAAATATATCGGTAAAATTTGATGTCATCTACTTTATAATAATTCTGATTACTAATTAAAGAACTTAAGGTTTACATATTTAGATATTTGCATAGACTTTCGTTCACATAGATAAAATACAAATCATAACAGATTGTCGTTCCAAAAAAAAAGGTTAAGACTCTACCTTCCATAATTATTGGAATGGTCGTATTTTTTAATATCGAAGATATCAAAGTTTGGAGAAAAAGTGAAAACAAATATCTACCTGAATTATATGTTATCCTACTATTTATTAGGTTTACAAATAAAATTATCCTGATTAGTTTATAATTTATTCAAAACCCTGATTAGCTTTTAATTTACTTGTCTATTATTAATTACCCTTAACAACAATAACCGCCGTAAATATATTCATATACTTAACGACTTAACTAATTAGTCACTAAGTTTTTTCGAAAAAAAAAAATACACATGTATTAACTGTATATCAATTTATTTATCTATTTAATTTAATATATATAATATATAATTTAATATATATAATTTAATCTAATTAATAAAATTGAAATACTACTAATCAATTTGCTGATATTTTTTCTATAGCATTGTTAAAAATGGTTATATTCTGAAAGGTTAAGAAATTTATTGAAAAGAAAGTTGCACAAAAGAAAAAAAAAACTAAATAAAAGTTATTCGTTTCAAAAAACGTTTTCCGAAGAGTTTTTCCAAACAATTTTATTTTTAATTGCGTTTTTTTTTTTAATTACGTCATAAGCATATTAAAGCGTTTTGAAAAACAGTTGCTGCATATATTTATAGTAAAAAAGTTAATGTAGCAAAATAAACTTTTAATTGTCAAAACAAAGTTTTAAAGTTTTATCTAGCTACAGGCTTTTTTTTTTTTTTTGCCTCCACAGCAGCATCTTCTCAAGTAGCAGGGCTGTCTTGTTAAGTTTTTTCTTTATTAAGTTTCAGACAACTTTTTTTCAGACCATCCGCAGCTTATTAGCACTAATTACATGAGCTCATTAATAACACAAGTGTCTCAATTATCATAGATACGCAACATATTTTTTCTCTTGGTGATGTTTTTTTTTTTTTTTTTTAATGTTTTATGAAGTTGTAGCTTTCTTAAAATCTTTTCTTCTGTGAGTGCATAATAGGGATGTACCGAAGCTAAAATTTTGCCGAAGCCGAAGCTTCGGCACTATATATGCTTAAAATTTAATCAGCATTCAGATCAGCAGGGGTGTAAAACAAAAAAGGTTCCAAAGCTAAGATCCTTGACTAATAATATAGAAAAAATGTATAAAAATGAGGACACAAGTCAGGGTTGCTGCCCAAGGCAGGGCAAAAGCTCTTAGCGCCCCTGTTTGAAAGTTTCTCATTATGTCGTTTCTGATACTTTACCGCACCTAGTGTTTTTTTTTTAACTTAAACTTTTTAAAATATTCTCCCCAAATTTTCCTACTTCTAATTCTACTTTTTCTGTGTGCAAACCATATTAATGTTATATAGTGCACAATATCAGTAACTCACATATATTTCCAACCATTCCCAATATTCTTCTAAGACTATTGCTATTTTTTTGATCTTTTATAGCCATACTGTTCTTCTATGTAAACATCGTTTCTCTTTAATCCTCTATCTAATCATCTAATTTTTAATCCTCTATTTAATCATCTTGTTTGATCTATCTAATTATAGTGTGCTAGCTGAACATCCTCAATTTTTATTCCCCATAAATTACTGTTACGCATCTTTTCATGTGATGTATATTTTATTTTTATTTTTAATGCACCTTTTGTTAAGAGTGGATAAAAATCTCTGAATATTACTCAAGTAAATTTATCTTTTATACTTGAACACTCTTTCTCTAAATAAACACTCTTAGCTGATCTAGTTGTATCTACAACATAAAAAATCTTGCAAACACACTTTATCTTTTTATTGCTATTTATTTCAAGATCTTTTTTTTACTTCTCTGTATTCATTAAACGAACAATTTCTAAACTAAAAAAAATCCTAAGTTAAGACCATTTTGTATTCCACTATAACTGTTGTGAACCTGCTGCTAAAAAAAAGTACAATTGATAGATTTCTTTCTAACTTCTTTTTTACACACTTTTAAGTTGTTGTTGTTTTTTTTTATTATTTTTAATTTAACACTACATAACATTTTCTTAAGCTTCTTTTAATTTTTTACACTCTGAAATTATAGTATTCATTCTTCTTCTGTCTCTGTAATGGATAAATCTGCATCAGTATCTGAAATCAAATATTAACTATCTGTGGCAAAAACTTCTTTAGTAATCTAACAACTCAGTAGAGTGAGCTTTAAATAAAATAATAAATAGAATACTTTATAAATATTTTATTTATAATTATATTATTATTTACTTTATATTTATAAATAAAGAGGGACTGAGCAGGCTGATATTTATTTGATTTAAATTGTTTATTTAATTTAAATAAATTTTGATGATAAATATAAGAGCTCAAAGTAATCAAAGCTTTAATCTTTAATTTATTTTAAATAAAATTTAAAAGTCTTCATATCATAAGAAGAAACCAGAATATAAGTTTATATGTTTAATATATAAATTCCATTTAGAAGTATTCATAATATTAATAAACGAGCAAGAATAATTATTATCATTGTTTTTCTTTTTCTTTTAATTTATATAGTTTTGGTTGACTTTTTTTTTTTTTTATTCTCCTCATTTATATTTCATTTGCATTTCTTCCTTTTTTGTTGTTGAGAACTTTATGTTTTTTATGTGTCACTCCATTGACTAGTTTGTAACTATATAAGTGACACCTTACCAATTTCTGTAATCTTACGATGAAAATTTGTAAATTTTTATTATTATGGTTAAATAAAATTTAACATACACAGAATTTAAAATAGTAGCAACGTATCTTTAATATTCTTTAAAGTGAGATTACTAAGGTTTATAGGTCAAATGTTGAAACCAATTTTTTTTCTATTAGCGGTAATCCCACACAAAAATTAATATAAATTCGTTACATAATACAAATTAAGGTTTTTTTTCCATTTTATTTTTAAAAAGT